AAAGCTCATCAGGCCAGGCACGGTGGTACACGCCTGTAATTCCAGCAGCTAGGTAGGCTAAGGCAGGAGGGTCACAAATTCAAAGCCAGCCTCAACAAAAGTGAGACACTAAGCAATTCAGTGAGACCCTCCCTGTTCCTAAATCAAATAGAAAATAGGGCTGGGGATGTGGCTTAGTGTTTGAGTACCCCTGAGTTCAATCCCCAGTACACAAAAAGAAAAAAAAAAAGTTAATATTCTCTCTTCTATAAATTGCTGAATCATATCTTTCACCCATTGGGTTGTTTATGATTTTCTATTGGGTTGTTTATGATTTTCTGACTGATTTGTACAAGTGATTCATATAGTCTATTAACCCTTTCTTAGTTTAAATGGGTTAATGACACCTTCTCCTATTTTGTGTTTTCCTTTTTCAAACCACATAGATCTTTATGTCCTCTAAGTATGTACTTCAAAGGGTTTCTAAATTTTGTTTTCCTTTATTCTTCAGGAAATTAAGATGGGGGACTAACTGTTGTTTATTGGATGGTTTATAATCCTTGAACAATTTTTGATAACTCTATCTTTTCTAAAAATCTTCAGTATATCACCCTCACTTACCATATTTCTGGGTACCAATTGGTCCATTTAGGTGGCCAATTTCTGCACATTGCCTTGATTGCTATAGTTTTTTTTATTATTACTATAGTTTTTTTTTTTTTAAAAAATGGGCCAGATTTGGCTGAAAGCTGAAGTTTTTTTAAAAAAAAAAAAAAAACAAGCTTTGATGTTTAGTAGGGAAAATCCCACCTCAACTTGATCTTTAAAATTTTCTTGGTTACTTTGGCCTTTTGCTCTTCTGTTCAAATTCTAGAACCAAGCATGACAATGAAGTCTTTGAAAACATCCATCATGATTTTGACTGAAATTTCAGTACTTGAAGATTAATTGAAGAAGAATTGACATTTTTGCATATTTTAATGGTTCATTATAGTTGTACATAATGGTGGGATTTGTGGATACATATTTGTACATGCACACAATATAACAATATAATTTGACTAATATCATATCCCAGTTTTTCCTCCTTTTCTCTCCTCCTCCCTCCCCCTGGTCCCTTACTCTGCTGATCTCCTGTTGGTTTTTAGGAGATACCTACCAACACACACACGCACACACACCTTACTTTTCCCTTTTTCCTCTCTAGCTTCCACATGTGGGAGAAAATATACAACCCTTGGCTTTCTGAGTTCAATTTATTTTGCTTAACATACTGTTTTCAAGTTCTATTTTCCTGCAAATGACATAATTTCATTCGTCTTTATGACTAAATAAAACTCCACACACCACATTGTCTTTATCAATTCACCCACTGATGAACATGTAGACTGGTTCCATAGTTTGGCTAATTGTGAATTTTGCTGCTATAAACATGGGTATGCATGTGTCACTGTACTATGATGGCTTTTTAATTCTTTAAAAAGGAGGAGTGGGATAGCCGGATCATATGGTGGTTTCATGCCTGGTGGTTGTACTAATTTACTATCCCACCAACAGTATAAAAATGTTTCTTTTTCTCCACATTCTCTCCAGCATTTGCTATTGTTTGTATTCTTATTAATTGATGTTTTTAACTAGGACAAGATGAAACCTCAGTGTAGTTTCCAATTGCATTTCCCTAATTGCTAATGATATTGAATACTTTTTCATATTTGCTGGCCATTTGTATTTCTTCCTTTGAGAAGTGTCGTTCTAGTTCATTTGCCCATTTATTATTGTTTTGTTTTGTTGTTAAGTTTTTGAGTTCTTTATACATTTTGTGTTAGTTGCGGAGCAGGCTGACCGAATGTTAGCTGCAGGGTAGCCTGGACATTCAGCCCCCATCTGTCTGGTTCCTTATCACTTGTTTGTCTCAAGGTTGAACACTCAACCCCACTCAAGGCTGAACACTCAACTCCCACCCGCCTGGTGCAACGGAACCCACGACCAACATCTGCCCGGTCAGCCTGAGGACAGAAGATGACACCCTTAGCAACTACTGTATGATCCAATCATTGTACACCAACAAGGCAGCTTGCAGACCCAGAGACCCCATTAGATTTTGGCTATAAAAACTCTCTCCTGCCGGGCCCCCCTCACTCTCTCTCACTCTTTCATCTCTCTCTCTCTCCCTCTTTTCCCTGTCGATCAGACACCACTGCAATAAAGATCTCTTGGTCGCTCTGAGTGTCTTGGTCACTTTCCTTTCATTCTGGATATTAATCCTCTGTCAGAAGAGTAGCTAGTGAAGATTGTCTCCCATTCTATGGGTTCTTCACAGTCTTAACTGTTTCCTTTGCTGTGCATCAGCTTTTTAATTTGATGCCATTCCATTTATTAACTCTTGGCTTTATCTCCTGAGCTTTAGGGGTCTATTGAGAAAGTCATTGCCTGCCCCCATATGTTGGAGTATTGAACCTATGTTTGAAAAAATCAACATTTTAGTGATGTTTAATCATCTGGCCCATGGACACAGTACAGCTCTTCTTTGGGGAAAGATTTGGATCTTATTAGTTAATGTCTATTATAAGTTAAATAATTTTTCCCTGAATTTTTTTCAACATTTTTTGTTAGATTTACTCTTAGGTCCTTTTTTTTTGTAACTGTTATTGTGAATGTCATTTAAAATATCTTTCATTTTCTAATTGTTGTCAGTATATAAATATGCACATGGCTTTGGTATATGCCTCTTATAACTTGAACTTTTATAAATTTTCCTCACTTCTCTTTAGATTCTTTTGGGAGTTTTCTTCTAGTAAGTAATCATGTTCTCTGTGAATAGTAGCACTTTTAAATTCTTCTCTATAATCTTTCTTTTAACAACTAATTGGGCTGGCTAGGACTCTAAGGTTGAATAGTTTAGCTAAATAATGATGTCTACCCTTGACTCACTTCTTATTTTAAAGGGATAAATAAGCTTCTACTATTTCACCTTTTGGAATGGTTTTGCTATTGGTTTTTATTAGGGACTCTTTATCAGACTAAGTAATTCCCTTCTATTCCTAGTTTGCTAAGTTTGCTTTTTTTGGTTTCGGTAGGGGAGGTTTGTTTGATTTTGGGTTTACATGGACTTTGGATTTTACTGAAAAGCTTTTTTTTCCCAACAGTTTTGAACATTACAGATTAGTATGATGAATTGCAATAATATAATTTTCAACGTTTAAATATTTTTGCATTCCTTGCAAAAATTTAACTTGATCAAGAAATATTTTTAAGTATATAGCTAGAGTCATTTTGCCAATTTGTTTTGTCTTGTTTAATGACTTAACTTGTTAGAGGATATTGGTAATTTGTTTTCTAGGTTGCTTTTAGGATCAAAGTTATACTAGCCCAATAAAAATTATTTACCAACTGTGATATTCTTTCTATGACACATGGAGGGAGAAATTATGTAAGATTGGAATTATCAAAGTATTAGAATACTTTGTAGAAGAATCTAGAACACAGAACCTACTACCATTCTCTGTAGTTTTCTTTAATAATTATAGGACTGTTCAGATGTTAAATTCTCTTCAATAAGTTCTACAACTTTAGAAAGCTATCCTTTTCCTCTATATTTCCAAATTTATTGTTGTAAAGATCCCCAGAAAAGACTTGATACTATACAATAAAGCATCAACAAAAGGTAGTCACCATGAATAGATGTTAAACCTCAACATTAATCAGGGAAACATAAATTTAAACAATGATGAGATAATCTCTACATGCCCCCCCTAGAAAGGCTAAATGTTAAAGAATAGTAATATAACTGTTGGTGACAATGCAGAGCAATTGAAATGCTCATACAATACAGGAGGAAAAGTAGATTGGCACCACTTTCAAAAACTGACAAATCTCTTGGAAGACACATCTAAGAATTTGCAGTATTACAACAGGCAAACACTGAAAGCAATACACATGCTTAATTACAATAGTATAGATAAATATATTGTAATATTAATTCAATGGAATTTGAGGAATAGAGAATGCATAAATTACTGTTATGTGGAGCAACCTGGGTGAATCTCACATATTTATACTGTTGAAGAAGCAAGACAAAATGATGCATGTAGTTTGATTTTATTTATGCAGCATTTTTAAAAGACAAAGTGAAACTGTATTGTTTACACCATTACATCAAGCTTAGTGTTATGGAGAGCTGCCTCAGAAAACACTCTAAGTCCGAATTCAAATCAAAGAGATCTTTATTTACCTGGCCAGGGACTGTCACCCACCCATAGAGATTAAAACTATGTAAGAGAACAGCAATTTCCTGGCCTGTGGCTTGGGAATTTAAGGACAAAAACCACAGCTCAGGGACTTTCCTTAGCATCATGTAAGCAAGTCAATCATAGAAGCTAAGATAGCAATTAGCACAGCAACTCAAGACAATCGCATCTTGGACTTGAGCAAGTGTTAGACAACCATATCCTGAGTTTAAGCAGGTGGTTAGTAGGGGGCGAGAATCTAGTGCAAAGTCTTGGATCACCAAGGCCACTATATCCTGGGTTGAATACATTTTGTAGGGTACTAAGTACAGAAAACAATACATTATAAGAAAACAGCCTTTATTTCAGTTTCTCAGAAACAGCTCTTGTAACAGTGTTTTATAGAAGGCAGCACAATGGAGTCTTAGGGCTGTCTATGACAGCTCTTGCTTAATAATTGTCTTATCTCACTTAACAAAATCTTATATCTCTAATCTATATTTTTTACTAATCTAGAACCTATAACTTACACTCTTATTGATTGTACTTATCAGTTCACACCACAACGTTCCCCACTGGTTTTATGAGACTAAATCAAATCATTGTTTATTTAAGTTTCGTGTTATCTAAGTTGACCATGTCATAATCATATTTTTCAAGGACCAGCAGTCTAATCTTTAGAAGCAGGCTTCCTGTCTTTTTCTGGCCTCAAGAATTTCCAAGTACAGCTGTGTGCAGTGTGCATGTCTGAAAGGGAAACAAAAACAGAAAGTAAAAATCTAGGGTACTGTTCATCGTCGGTTGTCCTCGGCTGTATCTTCTGTTGGAGCTGGCTTCTTGATTTGGGAGTGATGAATCCAATGTTGTTTTCCAGTGACTTTTACAGCAGTAGAAGTGGTCAGGATGGCTGGAAAGGGTCTGTGCCCGCAAGGTTCCAAGGTGAATAGATAATGGCTCAGCTGGAATAGGTGAGTGAAGTTCTCTCCTGCAGCTAGCTGCCGGACTCTTTGTTAAAGCCTGAGTCTGTGGGAGGCTTGCTGGAGAGCCTGTAAGGACTTAAGAAATGAGTGGTCACTTATTTCAGCTAGTTTTTTATCTTTTAGTCTGGGAACCAGCAGGGGTGGTCTTAGAACAAAGGGAAAAAGAAGACCCGTCCAGTCTATGCCAATCTCCAAGTGTAATTAGTAAGGGTGTCTTTTAGATTTCTATTTATCCTTTTTACTTGTCTTAAACTCTAAGGCCTATATACAATGTACGTCCCATTTAATTCTAAAGATTTTAGATAAATTTTGAGTTATCTTAGCTATGAAAGCTGGGCCATATCGGACCCCATGGCTATTGGGAGGCCAAATTGAGGAATTATCTCCTGAATAAGTGTCCACATATATCAGCAAATATTTATAACCATATTGTCTGGGTTTTACTTTGGTGAAGTCCACTTCTTATTTTTCTCTTGGTGTTTTTCTTTGTAGTCTGTTCCTGTAAATTCTTTATAGAGATCTCCCTGTACATGAACAGTAGCAAAACCATACCTACTGTCAGTGTAGATATTAACAGATTTTCCTTTGCTGGGTCTGAGAGCCTAGGTAAGTGCAATTAGCTCTGCCTTTTGTGCAGAAGTTCCATGTCCCAGAGGCTGAGCCGAGACAATTTCATTTAAAGTAACTACAGCTGTCCCCACATACCTGATTCCATTTTGGACGTAGCTATTGCCATCAGAGTAGCATGTCTCATCTGGGTCTGGCCACAGTGTGTCCATCAGGTCCCACTGGACATTCTGGAGTGACTCCAAGATTTCCTGGCAGTCGTGCAGTGGCCTAGAGGGATCATCATCAGGATGAGGGTGAAAAGCTGAAGTTTTTAGGAATTTTTTTTCTGGGCTGGTCTAGAAGAAGGGCCTGGTATTGGGTGGTACGAGCGTTGGAGAGCCAGTGCTCTGGAGGGCTCCAGAGTAAGATTTCCACATGTGGAGCTACCACCTATAAATCTTGCCCCAACGTAAGCTTATCTGCCTCCTTAACCAGGATTGCTGTGGCAGCGATGGCTCAGAGGCAGTTTGGCCATCCTGCCCCAACATAGTCCAGTCTTTTGGATAGATATGTTTCCATGGCCCCAAAGTCTGAGTTTGCATCCTTTGGCTATTCCCCTGATTTCATGTACAAACAGCTGAAATGGCTTCAGAACATCTGAGAGGTCCAATGCAGGAGCAGAGACTAGGGCTTGCTTCAGTTTGTCAAATGTCTCTTGTTTTTGTTTGTCTGTTTGTTTGTTTTTGTTTTTTCAGTCCAAGTCAGAGAGTCCTTTTTACCCCCTGTACTAACATACAGGGGCTGGGCTAGTTCAGCAAAACCAAGGATCTAAAGGTGGCAATACCTAATGGCCCCGAGGAATTCTCGTACCTGACACTTAGTCTTGGGGCGAGGAATCTGCATGATTGCTTTAATTCTGTCCTGCGACAGAGTCCTTTTTCCTTCTTTCAGGTGGTAGCCCAAGTAGGTGGCTGTTGAGGTGCACAATTGGGCCTTTCTAGCTGACACCCGGTACCCTAAGGTTTTTAACAAGTTGTTGGTGGCCTGTTCACATTTAGTCATAGTTTGGGTTGCTGTCAGGAGTTCATTTACATATTGTAAAAGTTCAGTCTCAGGGTGTTGCTGCCTGTAAGCTGTGAGGTCCCAGCTTAGGGCCTCATCAAATAGAGTTGGAGAGTTTTTAAATCCTTATGGCAACTGTGTCCAAGTCAATTGTCCTAAAAATCTCCCTTCTGGATCTGACTATTTAGAAGTAAAAATTGGTTGGCTTAGCTTAGCTGATGGCAAGTTGAAGAAGGCATCTCTGAGATCCAGGAGAGTGTACACTTGGGGAAAAGGAGGCAATGAACTGAGAAGAGTGTAGGGATTTGGTACTATGGGATGAATGCTTTCCATCCTGTTGACTTCTTTTAGGTCCTGTTCCAGTCCGTAGTCTTTTGTCTCAGGTTTCTGGACAGGGAGCAATGGCGTGTTTTAGGCTGATTGACAGGGGATCAGGATAGTAGCTTCCCCGCAACCTGTGGATATGAATGGCTATGACTTTTTTAGCTTCCAGTCTGATAGGATACTGGCGGATCTGCACAGGAGTGGCAGTGCTGTTTAGCTGCACTATACTAGGTGGCAGGTGCTCCGCTAAGCCAGGAGAATTGGATTCTGCCCAAACCCCTGGGATTTTTTTTTTTTTTTGGAATCTGGTGAGGACATCAGAAGGTGGGGTACAGGGGTCTTTTGTTAAGAGCAGGTATTCTTCCTCAATTGGACAAGTATGTGTGTGTGTGTGTGTGTGTGTGTGTGTTGTATACATATATATGCATATAAAAGCTTCTGGCCCTTTTAATGACAGGTTGGCTGTGCCTCACAAGGAACAAGTGAGTTATCCTCCCTTTTTAAAGTCAGTTCTCATTAGAAATTGGCCCCTTACTTTCCATTCCTGGGGGCTATTGTTGTTTAGGGAGTGGAGCCCTTGGGGGTTGTTGTCCAGGGGCTTGAGGCCTTAAGGTGCCTTGAGACTCTGACATAGCCATCACCGTGACTCTTGTCAACCTTTTAGCCTGTTTTTCTTTGTTGGGGGATCTCTGCTATTGTAGACCCTTTGGGCTATTTCCACCCATTTTGACAGCATCTTTCCCTTAAATCCTTCCTGTCTCTGTAACTTTTTCCTAATATCTGGGGCCGATTATGTTACAAAAGCAATATTAAGAGCCCTTCTATTCTCTGGAACCTCTGGGTCTATGGGTGTGTACACATGATAAGCCTTGAGAAGGCACTCCAGGAAAGCAGCCAGGGGTTCATCTGGTCCTTGAAATATCTCACTTACCTTTGCCAAATTGGTGGGGTTTCTACTGGCTGCTTTGATCTCTCTCAGTGGAGCCTGGCATACTGATCAGTCACCTCCATACCTGTGTTTGTCCAATTGGGACGAATTGAAGGGAAAATGAGTTCCACATGAGCTGGATCATCAGAGGGTTGGCCATCAATGCCGAGAGAGTAGTTTGGGGGCTTTTCTTTTGATTTTAACAGAGAAATTATTAGTAGAAAAAGGAACATATATTATGAAAGGGTTTCCTCTTTCTCCCGATGTGGAAGGGGGAGCCTGACAGAGGGGAAGTATAGGGACCGGAGTTTGGGTATAGGATGGGAAGGCTTGGGCATCGAGTGGGTACTAGGCACCTGAGGAACAGAGGGATCCAGAGGAGGAAGATCCAGGTCCTAGGAGCTCTCTTGTTGGACTCTTCTTCAGGGAGGAAGGTTTTGTTAGCAAGACAAGTTTTGGTTTTGGTTTTTTAGCTGTTCCTGTAAGGCAAAATCTTAACCATCTTGGCTCTTCTAGGAGGATTTCAATCCAAATCTGTATATAGGGCAACTGATCTGGATGGCCAGGCCACCCGGAGATGACTCTATGAACTTGATAGGCGGTGGAGAGGCCGGTGATCCCTTCTGGGGGCCATCCGACTTAAAGCCTGACCAGTCTAATTCACAAAGTTTTCTGAGAGAGGAAACATTACATGATGTTTTATCATTAGTTATTCTCTTTGAAAACTCTTTAAAGTTAGACAAAAAACATTTAAGGGGTTTACAAAACGAACATGAAGTGGACGGATTTTGACCCATAATGAGACTGAGACCAACAGTGAGACACACAACAGACAAGGTGCCATAAACAAACCTAGTTGACCAGAGATTTAGATGGAGTTTCCACCACCCCACCCCACCCCACCCCCCAATTTTTAAACCCAGATGGGCCAGAGAGCAACATCTCGACACTGCCCTGGACCGGGAAGTATATGCTGCATCCAGCCTTACCTGACGACCCCAGACTGTGGAGCCACTCAAATCAAGTTCCAAGTTTCAAGCTTACCTTTCCCAGGAGAACTAAGTCGCAGGTGCAAACTGCAAATGCTCTCAAATAGGCAGTTTGCAGGTTTGGCAGGAGCCAATGAGGAGAGGACCCAGGGCTGGGGAATTCTCCTCAGAGGCCTTCCCCAGCTAGTCTCTGACTCACCAGGTCTCTTGGGTGTTTCTGAGCATTCTCCCATTTCTGAGAAGAGAAATATCTCTTTCATCCCGAACAGGCCCCCAAGAGGTTATTGGGAGCTGCTTCAGAAAACACTCTATGTCAGAATTCAAATCAAAGAGAGCTATATTTACCTAGCCAGGGACTGTCACCCACCCATAGAGACTGAAGCTATGTAAGAGAACAGCAATTTCCTGGCCTGTGGCTTGGGAATTTAAGGACAAAAACCACAGCTCAGGGACTTTCCTTAGCATCATGCAAGCAAGCCAACCATGGAAGCTAAGGCAGCAATTAGCACAGCAACTCAAGACAATCGCATGCATCTTGGGTTTGAGCAAGTGTTAGACAACTGTATCCTGAGTTCAAGCAGGTGGTTAGCAGGGACGAGAATTTACTTCAAAGTCTTGGGTCACCAAGACCACCATATCCTGGGTTGAGTACATTTTGTGAGGTACAAAGTACAGAAAACAATATATTATAAGAAAATAGCCTTCATTTCAGTTTCTCAGAAAGAGCTCTTGGAACAGTTTTTTATAAGAGGCAGCAAAATGGAGTCTTGGACCAGTATATGACAGTTCTTGCTTAATAATTATCTCACTTATCAAAATCTTATATCTCTAAATTTTTTACTAATCTATAACCTATAACTTACACTCTTATTGACTGTATTTATCAGTTCATACCCCAACACTTAGAAAAATGGTTTCCTTCTAGAGATGAGGAAGCATTTTTGATGAGGGGAGGGGGGTACACTTGAGGACTTCTACAATGATTGCAATATTCTATTTCTTGAAACTAATGGTATTTATATGAGTAATTGCTTTATAATTCGGCTGACAATAAGCATATGTGTTTTACCTGCTATTCTATAGGTATATGGCATTTACAATAAAACATCAAAGTTCAAGATCTTAAAACCAGGATA